TCTAATTTCTTGGCTTCTTCCCCTCCCAGTGGTTTCTGGATAGTTCTACTTCTTTGGTTACAGTAGTTACCTTCTGCAGTTATTTCCCATTATCTCCAGTTACCTCAGTCTGTAGCTGCCATTTTCAGCACTGTCTGGGAAAGCCGACCATGTTGCCATGCTGGTATTCACAGAGGGTGGTATCATTGCTTTTGCTAGTGTTTCTCATCTGCTTTTTCTACACTTTGTCTTCAAAATTAGGGGCTGAATGCCTCCTCATGCGATAATAGCTTTCTTTTGATTGATGCTACATGGTGTGATCTCTAAATAGTTACACTAGTTCTTCACATCCTGAACTGAGTAGGAATTTGTATTTTTTTTTACATCTATTTTTTTAGGCCCTTCTCTTTTAGCTTCTATGTCCAGATTCAGGAAACTTAGAACCAGTTTCTTTTTTTTCTTTCTTTCTTTCTTTTTTTTTTTTTTTTAAGGATTTTATTTATTTATTTGACAGAGAGAGACAGCAAGAGAGGGAATGCAAGCAGAGGGAGTGGGAGAGGGAGAAGCAGGCTTCCCGTGGAGCAGGGAGCCTGGTGCGGGGCTCGGTCCCAGGACCCTGGGATCATGACCTGAGCCTAAGGCAGATGCTTAACAACTGAGCCACCCAGGCACCTCATGTTTTATGTTGTTTTTGAGTATAGCTGATGAGAACCAATTGCTTAGAAGAAGATCCAGAGGACCTTTGAGGGGACTGATTGCTTATTTAAAGACATGTCGGGGTACCTGGGTGGCTGAGTCAGTTAAGTATCTGACTTCAGTTCAGGTCGTGATCTCAGGGTCTTGGGATCAGGCTCTGTTTTCAGTGGGGAGTCTGCTTCCTCTCCCTCTGCCTCTTCCCCTGCACGTGCGCCCGTGCACACTCGCGTGCACACACACACACGCTCACACACTCACTCTCACTCTCTCTCAAAGTCTTTTTTTTTTAAGATTTTATTTATTTGAGAGAGAGAATGAGAGAGAGAGCAGGAGGGGGCGAAGGTCAGAGGGAGAAGCAGTCTCCCCGCTGAGCCAGGGAGCCCGATGGTAGGACTCGATCCTGGGACTCCAGGATCATGACCTGAGCCAAAGGCAGTTGCTTAACCAACTGAGCCACCCAGGCGCCCTCAAATATAATCTTTTTAAAAATAAATAAAGACATTTCCTGCCTTCTCCAATGAATTATTGTTCTGAGAAGAATACACCCTGAAGGATAAATTCCCTGTTTTTTGTGAACCTGATAAATAGACACACCACTTGACCTTCCATTCTTTGTGTCTTTTTTTAAGTTGTGATTTTAAGTGCTACTTTTGTTATTGAGCTTAGTAAATACTCATTAGCCCCCAAATTTTTGGCCCTGCTTTATCTCTTTATTGGAGAGGATGTGGATTTGCAAAGTTGTTTACTGCCTACTAGCTATAAGACAATAAGCAACTGGCATGAATTGTCTTTTTTTTTTTTTTTAAGCGCTTATTTATTTCTTAGCACAAGAGAGAACATGAGCTGGGAGAGAGGCAGATGAATAGGAAGAGGCAGACTCCCCCTGAGCAGGAAGCCTGATGCAGGGCTTGATCCCAGGCCCCTGGGATCATGACCTGAGCCAAAGACAGGCTTAAACAACTGAGCCACCCAGGCGCCCCATGAATTGTCTTTTTAATGTAGTGACTCCACCCCCTCAGTAAAAAAAATGGAGTCCTGTGAATGTTTTGGATTCTGACCTGTGATATTGAAATGAAAAGTGGATGATAGCCCTTTCTCATGAGGGAAGTTTGGAGCAGAGGTCCTGCGTTATCTATTGCTATATAACAAATTCCCCCAAATTCAGTAATTTGAAAGAATAAACATTTATAATCCCTTGCAGTCCAGAGGGTCTGGAATCAGAGGCTTAGCTGGATGGTTCTGACTTGGAGTCTCTTTTTAGTTTGTAGGCAAGATATTGGCCTGGGCTACAGTCATCTGAAAGATTGGTTAGGGTTGGATAATATGCTTCCAAATCATGTGGTTATTAGCAGGAGGCCAGTAATCTTAGCATGTGAGCTTCTGAATTGGGCTGTTCACAGCATGGCAAGTGATTCTACAGAGAGTAACCAAAATGTAAGCCATAGTCTTTTAGAGCCTAATCGTGGGAATAACAAATCATTTCTGCTATATTCTGTTGGTCACACTGACCAATTTTGGTACAGTGTGGGAAGGAACTACAGAAAAATGTGAATATAAGGAAGCAGACAGAGTTAATTGGAGATTCTCTTGGAGTTTGGTCATCACAGGTCTCTTTCTTTGTGATCATGTAAGTAGCATCAGGATGTGGAAAACATTTCTTTTTTCATAGTACCCTTTATCATTATGTTCAGGAGACCTAGGGCTAATCATACCCATAAAACTCTTCTTAGCTTACCTTTCTATCCTTATGTTTCAGTTAGTAGCTATGCACATTGACTTTCCTATACATCCTTATTTGATAGTAAGGGCTTGCTTTCCCTGTTTTAGTGACGTTCTCAAGATCTGGAGAATTTGTATAGCAGTGTTACCTAAAATGTGGTTATTGAAACAAGACTTTTCCAAGATGCTTTACACTAAGGAGTTTCCATTACTTTTGGAAACCTCTGTGTTACCTTCTTCCCCTTGGAGAATCATTTGTGCAAGTTAGTATATCAGAAGTCTCTGAGAAATCCTTTGAGGAAATCAGTTTCTCCTTTTTGTACCCAATGTTTTTAAAAATTTACTTGATCATTGAATCACTATATTGTATATCTGAAACTAATATGACACTGTATGTTAACTATACTGGAATTAAAATAAACTTGATAAAAACATTTACTTGATCATATAACCCACATTTGTTATAAGTGGAATAAATTAAAAACCTTGTTATAACAAAAATTTATCACAAATATATTCCTTTATTCAAAACAAGTTATTCAGGCAGCTTTATTTCTGTATTTTAGATAATTAAAATTTTTCTTAAGTACTTTTCAATTTGTAATTATTTTACATTTTGGAAGACAGCTGAGGTCAGACATTGCAAGTAGCTGATACTTTATTTCACTGTCAGTAGCAATTGTGATATTGCAAGATCTGAGGAAAGGTTTCATTCTTGGCCACTTAAAGAGCCATTTAGGAGATTTTTTTTCCACTTTTACTGATTTATTAGCAAATGTTTTTAGCATATCTTAGGCCCTGGGTTTGCTGTGATCAACAGCATAGTCTGTCCTCCTTGTGAGGTGACAGCCAGACAAATGTAGGAGGTAACTGCAGAAGGACCACAGAGACCAAAGCAAAGGTGTGATAGTCCACAGATAGCTGCTTGTGAGCTGAGTGTATGCCTATTAATAAGTTCTTATTCACTGATTCTCAATGGAGAAGGGAGGAGTTTTCTTTTTTTTTTTTAAAGATTTTATTTACTTATTTATTTGAGAGAGTGAGAATGAGAGAGAGAGAGAGCACATGAGAGGGGGAAGGGTCAGAGGGAGAAGCAGACTCCCTGCTGAACAGTGAGCCTGATGCGGGACTCGATCCAGGGACTCCAGGATCATGACCTGAGCCGAAGGCAGTCGCCCAACCAACTGAGCCACCCAGGTGCCCAGGGAGGAGTTTTCTAATCTGTAATGGTGTTGGGTGATGTTAAGCTTACATACACTGAAAAGATCTAGAAACATTTGCTATATTGTTAGTAATATTTCATTGTCCAGAAAAAGCACAAGCTAGCTTTTAAGCAGAGAATTGTTGAGTTCTGAACAGATATCCACGCTTGTCTACTTTAATCCAAGAAAAGATGCTCATTAAGAGTCTTTATAGGGAGCCCCTGGGTGGCTCAGTCGTTAAGCTTCTGCCTTCAGCTAGGGTCATGATCCCAGGGTCCTGGGATCGAGCCCCGCATTGGGCTGCCTGCTTCTCCCTCTCCCACTCCCCCTGCATGTGTTCCTGCTCTTGCTATCTCTCTCTCTCTCTGTCAAATAAATAAAATCTTAAAAAAAAATTTAAAAAAAAAATAGTCTTTATAGTTACATGCAATTTTCTTTTTTTTTTTTGACAGAGACACAGCGGGAGAGGGGACACAAGCAGAGGGGGTGGGAGAGGGAGAAGCAGGCTTCCCACCAAGCAGGGAGCCCGATTCAGGACTCGATCCCAGGACCCTGGGATCGTGACCTGAGCCGAAGGCAGATGCTTAACTACTGAGCCACCCAGGTGCCCCAGTTACATGCAATTCTAGTAACATTAGTTATTTGGTTTTAAACCCATAAGCTATGGGCTTCTACGATTTTTGTTTTGCTTTGTTGTATACTGAAAAAGAATGTCCACTAGTGATAACATGGGAAGAGTTGAGCAATAAAAACTATATAAACAAGAATGTAAAATATAGCCATTTGGGGGCATCTCATATGTAGAGAAAAAACTATATCTCAGGCCATGCATGATACATTATATTCTAGTATTGAAAGTTTAAATTATGTGTAGGTATCCTGTTTAAAAATGAAAAGAAATATGGGTTGTAAATTGTAAATTAAAGTTATTCAGAACATTTTCCAAAGGCTTTTTGCAGGTATGATTACTTGTATAGTGTTTTTGAAAAGCTTGTATGTCTGAAATGACACATTCTTTAAGGATGATGGAGAACTATGGTTTTTATAATTGGAAAGTAGTAAAGGAAACACTGCTAAAACTTTTAAGCAGTTATAACCTAGGCTGAGATCTTATAACCTCAGTGGAGTAACAATGAAGTTTTGTAGGTAGCTGTCTGCTCTTCATAACCACTTTACAGCATCAGTGTTAACAGGATATTTAGAAGTGTTTTGATTGTGAATTATAGGACAAACAATTAAAAATTAGAGAGGCATAATAAGATGTATAAGATGTAAAGGACTTGCAAAGGAAAAGATGTGAGCATTTGGAGGAAATTTACTCAAGGATTTCAGTCTGTGAGGCTAGAGGATGTTTATATTGTTGTCATTTTTTTCAAAGTACAAATTGTTGATATTCTTTTCTAGAAACGACTGCAGAAAGAACTGTTGGCTTTGCAAAATGACCCACCTCCCGGAATGACTTTAAATGAAAAGAGTGTTCAGAATTCAATTACACAGTAAGTATTTAATTTTTGAAGTACTTGTTTCTTTTTATTATTAGTGTAAAGTCTGAATATATACTTATTTTTAAAAATGGAGAATTTGGGGGTGCCTGAGTAGCTCAGTTGATTAAACATCCGACTCTTGATTTCGGTTAAGGGTCGTGAGATCAAGCCCCAAATTGGGCTCTGCGCTCAGTGGGGAGTCTACTTGAGATTCTCTCTCTCCCCCTCCCTCTGCCCCTCTCCTCTCTCTGTCTCTCTCAAATAAATCTTTAAAAAAATAAAATGTGGAATTTTCATATTTCATCCCACTCTCTTCCATCAAGAGGTAAATAAATAGATCTTATTCTATGTATTTATATACCCCATTTTGTGTTACATAATAGTATCATACACATTGTATATAATGTATGGTTTGTTAACCTTTTTTTTTTAAACCATATGTTGATTAGTAATGTTTTAAAGTGTTTCCTGCCAAAGAGGCAGCATATAAAAACTTTGGTCTGACTTTGTTTATGAAATGATCTTCATCTAAAATAGAGCAGTTTGGCATGTGGTTGTTTATCAAATTTTTCAAAACCACATGTAAAGGTTTGAAGAGGGTAGTAGTCAAGAGGTGTCTCCAATCCCTGAACACATTAATTGCCCTGTAAAGAACGGTAACTGAATGTTGGACTCTTCAGCAACCACTTTTAATAGTAAGAAACTTCTTCATGAGGATAAAAAAGTGAAGCATAGAAGGGAAGACACAGAAGTATTCTAATTCCGCTCCTTCCTTGGGTGCAAAGAAGTCTTTTCCCAGATACGAACCCAAGAAGAGTAGAGAGATATGTATGTGTCCTCTTGTAAAGATGAGCATTTGAATTAGTTGGAAGTGTTTATTCTAGAGTATCATCCTAAGATCTCACAACCCAGTATAGTCTATTTTTATCACTCCTTTAACTTAATAGTTTTGTTAGACAAGGGTAAATGCTCTGAAATTGGTGGAGGGGAGGAATTTAAAATAATGGAACCTCTCCTTAAAATCTTCAAAAACATAAAAGGGATAGGATAGGAGGCAACGAGGTAAAAAGTATACTATAGACCAAATTGTAAGACAAAGAGGATAATTCAAATACTAAGTGGTATTCTAGGTCCAGAAAGCAAAAGTGACCAAAATTCATGGACATTTTTATCCTTTGAGAGAAACAGTTTTAGTTACCTTTGACTTTGAGATTTGAGTCCATACTTAAAACGGAAGTCAAGCTTTTTTTTAAAACGGGAATATGAAGAATGGATCTATTGATGTTTGGATGGATATATTGTTTGAAAATTGAGTACAGATCTCTAGCTCTGTAACAGTTTTTAAAACATTGCTGGGTTCTCGAGCATTTTTAGGTTCCCTGCAAAATTGAAATTTCCCACATACCCTCTGCTCTCATATATGCACAGCCTCCCCCATTATCAACATCCCCCACCAGAGTGGGACATTTGTTACAATTAATGAAATATGATTGACATATCATAATCCCCCAAAGTCTGTAGTTTGCATTATAACTCATTCTTGTATGTTCTGAGGATTTGGGCAAATGTTCACTGACATGTATCATCATTATGGTATCATACAGAATATTTTCATTGCCCTAAAAATCCCCTGTGCTCCAGCTATTCATCACCCCCCCAACCACTGATCTTTTTACTGTCCCTGTGGTTGTCCCTTCCCCAGACCGTCATATAGTTGGAATCTTACATTATGTAGCCTTTCAGATTGGCCTCTTTTACTTAGTAATATGCATTTAAGGTTCTTCTGTTTCTTTTTGTGACTCTCGATTGATTTTTCATTTCTGTCAAACAAAATGTGAAAATGGAGCACATATTTAGAGTGTATGACATTTGTTCTATATAATTAAATGAGTTTTTTTTGTTCTGTATAATTACACAGATAGATTATATTCCATTTTCATTGGTGATAATCAAGTGCTTCCTCTTTCAACCTTTCCTTTTTTTGGTGGTGGGGGAACCATATAATACAATGATTTATAAAAAGTTAAAGGAATGTTTTACATTTGTACAAATGGAAACATTTGTATAGATTTTCAAGCAGTTATACCGTAAATTGTTTAACTACCAAAACAGCATTATCTTTGTTGCAGAATAAACTTGTCATTTTCAGAGATGTATGTCAGGCAGTTTTTCTTTCAAAATAATTTATTGTAAATGAATCACAAATGTTTTATTATCTTTGTCTTCCAGGATATAAAACTAGTTTTATAAAAATTAGATCTTAAAAGATATGTTTAGGTGGGATGAGAATGCTGATAAAAAAAAACAACACATTAAGCTTTCTGGAAGACAGTTTGGTAGCATGTATTAAGACCTTTAAAAATAAGAGTATCATATCCTTTGAACTAATAAATAAACTCCTGTGCTGACCTAAGGAAGGAACAGAGAAAGATTAACCCAAGGGTGCCTAGTTGGCTTATTCAGTAGAACATGCAACTCTTGATCTTGGGGTTGTGAGTTTAAGCCCCATGTTGGTGGACATAGAGTTTACCTCAAAAAAAAAGATTAACTTAGAACTAACTATACTCATTTCAACAGTACTATTTCTAGAGACAATTTGGAAACAATTTAAATATCAGTAGGGGTGCCTGGGTGGCTCAGTCATTAAGCATCTGCCTTCGGTTCAGGTCATGATTCCAGGGTCCTGGGATCGAGCCCTGCATCAGGCTCCCTGCTCCACAGGAAGCCTGCTTCTCCCTCTCCCACTCCCCCTGCTTGTGTTTCCTCTCTTGCTGTGTCTCTCTCTGTCAAATAAATAAAATCTTTAAAAATAAATAAATACCAGTAACAGGGAAATGGTTTCTCAAAGTTAGACCGTGGAATGGTATCCCCTGAGTCATAGCCTGTAGTCAGCATGAAATGCAGAAATTTTGTGTAGACATAATCCCTTTGAAAAGGTGTGTATCCTGTCATAACATATCATAATATATCCAACAGAGCTAGTTTTTCCTTTGGAGGGGAATAGTTGGCTGTTTCTTTGATTAGGAACTATGAATGCATGAAAAATAACTGTTTAAACATTAGAATCCTAGAACAGTAGCTACTTACTAGAAGTTAAGAACTCATTCATCCTCAGGGACATATGCCCTTAATTGGACTCATAAACACGGAGGATTTGTTTTTTGTTTTGTTATTTTTAAAATTTTTATTTATTATTTTAGAGAGAGTGAGCCGGGGGCGTGAGGGTGGGCAGAGGGAGAGAGAGAGTCTTAAGCAGACTCCATGCCCAGCATGGAGCCCGACATGGGACCTGATCTCATGACTCTGAGGTTGTGACATGAGCCGAAATCAAGAGTAGGACCCTTAACCAACTGAGCCACCCAGGCGTCCCATAAACACTGATAATTTGAATTTATGTAATTTAAGTGTACACATAATTTAACAATTGGACATCAATTCCATTGATAAAGAAACTACAAAATGACTAGAATGAAATGTACCCAAAGTACTTCAACAGTGACTATACTGTGGTTTTGTTTATTTTACTGTTCTAAATTTTCTATAGTGAACATACATTGTTTTTTCAATTAGCAAAAAGTTATTTAAAATTATCCTGCACAGTGTTGAAAATTATGCTGCCTTTGACCTGTCTCACCCAGATATTGGAAGGATTACTAAGATATTTGCTTAGCTATTATTTAAAAGCTGTGTTTGGATAGATCACATGTAAATTTATGGTATGTTATGTCCTAAAATTTTTATTTTATTTATTTATTTATTTTTAGATTTTATTTATTTATTTGACAGAGACACAATGAGAGAGGGAACATAAGCAGGGGGAGTGGGAGAGGGAGAAGCAGGCTTCCCTAGGAGCAGGGAGCCCGATGCAGGGCTCAATCCTAGGACCCTGAGATCATGACCTGAGCTGAAGGCAGACACTTAACCGACTGAGCCACCCAGGCATCCCTGTCCTAAAATTTTCCTTATAAAGAGAATGAAAGGACACCAGGAGGGGTGCCCGGGTGGCTCAGTTGGTTAAACACTGGACACTTGGTTTTTGGCTCAAGTAATGATCTCAGTGTCCTGAGATTGAGGCTGTGTCCCAAGTTGGGGCTGAGCCCAGAACCTGCTTGAGACCCTCCTCTCTCTTCCCCTCTGTTCTTTCTCCTGCTCCCACTAGCACATGCTCTTGCACTCTCAAATCAGTTAATCAAATCAAATCAAATCTTAAAGGGCGCCAGGAAGTCCTCTGATTTTCCTTGGAATAATCATTTTGCATAGTGGATGTTAGGGATAAAAAGGGATTTTGATGGCTAGGAAGGACCCAGTTTGTAAAGAGAATAGGTTTTTGTTTTTATTTTTTTAATGCAGCTTATGCATTATATTTAATTTAGTATGTACTGGTGCTGATGTCAGGAAAGTACTACATGTTTTGCATATGTAATGCCATTTGCCTTTGCAACACTTTGAGATGAGAATCCTTTTAAATACTGCCTCTTGGCTCTATGGTCATGTCTTTTATTACCATGTATGGTATTCAGCATGCATTCTGAAAATGAATAGCTATGCTCTTAAAGTCCTGTATATGTTAGCTGATTGCTTTCAGAGAGTAGGCACATTTATTATTTTATATACTCCTCTAAGTCCATAGTATGTGGGGTGATGACTAGAACCTCAACACTGTATTCTCAATATTATTTCCTTTTGTTTTCCTGTACTTAAAGTAATAAATTTTTATACCTAAAAAGTTTAAGATGAAAGGAATTGGCCAGCGCTTTAATTAGGATTCTTATGATTGGTCCACTTTTACTTCTCAGTGTGGCCCCATCATTTTTGCCACCATAATCCCTCCCCTTTTTAAATTTTTATTTATTTTTTTAAATTCATTTTATTTTTTAAGAGAGAGAACGAGTGCATGAGTGGCAGGGGGAGAGGGAGAGAGAATTTTTTTTTTAAAGATTTTATTTATTTATTTAATTGACAGAGACAGTGTGAGAGGGAACACAAGCAGGGGGAGTGGGAGGGGGAGAAGCAGGCTTCTGGCCGAGCAGGGAACCCGATGCGGGGCTCGATCCCAGGACCCTGGGATCATGACCTGAGCCGAAGGCAGTCGCTTAACCAGCTGAGCCACCCAGGAGCCCCAGGGAGAGAATCTTAAGCGGGGCTTAAGATGCAGGCCTGAGCTGAAATAGAGAGTTGGATGCTTAACTGACTGAGCCACCCAGGTGCCCCAGTTTCCCCTTTTTAAAATTAATTAATTAATTTATTTTTAAGATTATTTAATATTTGAGAGAGCATGAGCAGGGGGAGGGGCAGAGGGAGAAACATTCCCCCCTCCTCCCTTTTTTTTTTTTAAAAGAGCGAGAGAGATACAGTGCCTGGCTGGCTCAGTCAGTAGAGCATGTGACTCTTGATCTCGGTATTGTGAGTTCAAGCCTTGTGTTGGGCATAGAGCTTACTAATAAATAAATAAGTGAGCAAGAGATAAATGTACAGATTATAAATAGATTTATAGTCATGATTATTTTATGTAGAAACCAAGTAAGCTTATAAAGAGGCCATAGAAATCTCTTCTGAGTTTTATTAAACAACTGAAACGTGAGAGACAAAGGAAAGGCAGTATAGAGCCTTGAATAGCCATCAGAGTAAGTGGATTGATGTTAGCTTAGCTTCTTTTTCCTGTTTAGTCTCTAGAATACTGATGAGAAGATGGGTCTAACAGCCAGCATTCTCTAGTCGTTGTTGATACGTACTTCGACCATTGCTTCTAAAATGATATCAGAAAGGCAGTTCATTAGTTTGATGTTACCTATAAAATCTTGTCAGTCATTGTAAAAATAGTATTTTGGAAAAATAAGGTAGCATAAATTGAGTAGCGAGAGTACGGGCTTTGGTGTCAGCACACTTGAGTTGGGTTTTCATTTTGTTTTCAGACCTGGATTAAAATTTGGCTCTGTCCTTTGCCATTTGTCTGACTTTGATCTAGTTACCTAACCTTTGAGCATCAGAAAAGGGTGTTTATACCTACCCTTTTAAAATTGTTGGGAGGATGAACTACCCTCTTGCACATGAATGACTCTTATCCCAGTGCCTGGTATACAGAAAGTCTTCAGTGTTCCCTTTTCTTTCTCATCCCAATTCTTCTTATATGAAGTTTTTTAATTTTTTTTTCTTTTTCCTATTCTAGGTGGATTGTAGACATGGAAGGTGCACCAGGTACCTTATATGAAGGGGAAAAATTTCAACTTCTATTTAAGTTTAGTAGTCGATATCCTTTTGACTCTCCTCAGGTAACTGCCTTGTTTTTTAAGATTTTATTGTATTTTTAGATTATAGCAAAATACTAAATTAGTGACTTTTGACTAAATACAAACTTATAAAGAAATCCATTGTAATTATGTGAATAGATTTGTTCCTTTATCTTATCTGTGATGTAATTAAGATATTATGAACAGTTTATTGAGATTAGAGCTTTGCTGCTTTTGTACTTAAAGAACTCAATATTTTTTATAAATAGATGTTAGCAGAAAAGGGGATGGAAATCTAACCCAGGCCCATGGGTTGTGGGAGAACTTAGCAATTTGGAATAACTAGAGGCACTTACTCCTAGATAAGATGATAGAATGATATTGTAAGGGGGCAAGTGCTTTGTTGAAAGGAACACTTCTTTGATTTTGCATTGACATGCTATCCTTGCAGTCTTTTAGTACTATGAAGATAGAATATATTACGAGATGTTAAATATCTAAACATAAGCTCCAAGTCTTATCAGTGTAATTTGAGGCACAGTTAGTTTATGTAATGGGTTAACACTCAGACAAGGGATAATGGTGGTAGAGGAACTTTTTTGAGAGCTGTTAACTGAGAGCTGTTTAACTGTGGTGAATGAACTTTTTTGAGAGCTGTTAACTGAGAGCTGTTTAACTGTGGTGAATGAACTTTTTTGAGAGCTGTTAACTGAGAGCTGTTTAACTGTGGTGAATAATAATTAATTAATTCTCCTAGAGGAGACTCTAGGATGACTTCCAGATTTTTGACTTGGTGAGATGGGTAAATGAGTTACTAGTGGCAAAATGATAAGACTTAATGCCGGCTCTGTGTAGTACTGCTAGATAATGAGGTTCTGCATCTCAAATAGCTAAAACACTCGTGAAGTGCTGAAATACGTTATTTTTGAGGAAAATCGTATTTCATTGCCACTTTAAATAGAATATACCAAACAGTGTAGGAGTATAGATGGAAGTCAGTTATTGTAATGTGTTGTAAGTACAGGAAATCTTTGTTTTAATAAAGGCACAGAATTAAATGGAAATGGTCTCCTTGAGTTCTGCAGTTTTCATGTGAGCAGAAAATAAGAAACTCATTTTTATCATTTTCATAAAAATAAAGCTAAGGGTTATGTATTGTCATGACCTCTAGACCTCTGTAAGCATGTGTAGACTATGATAAACCAAAGCAAACATCTTCCTTCTCTCTAGAAAATGATCGTCACGTTTTATAGCCTTTTGACTTATCAGCATCATTTTAGATTGTTAATCCTTGAAGGCAGTGGTATCTCCTCGTCACCTTCAACCTTTTCTTCTTCACTTCAGCTAAGTTTGTTGAAGGTATATGAAGAAAGAATGTGACTCACCAACTCCAAACTGTTGATGAGGGGAATATTGGAGAAGGCTTACTCTGGGAGCCTGCAGATATGTCATCAGAGGAAAATAGTATTTCTGTAAACTTGAACCAAGTCAAAAGTGTCCTCTAAATTCTCTCCTTAGTATTTAAATCGAAATCAAATATCAAACTCTGAAGCAGCATTTGAATTTTATCTTGAATATTTCTGTAAGTTAGAGCGTTGGTAATGGATTCTATCATATCTCAAATTCTTTTTCTCTCCTTCCGTGTTGTGACTTCTTCCTGCTCTTCTGATTCTTCTGATTTCGGTGTTCTCTGGGTTCTTTATTCAGCACCCCTCATTCTGACTCTTTCCTCTAACATCTTCAGTCATCTTAAGCAGCTTACTCCCAGATCTACAGTTCTGTATACAACCTCTTCTTTCTGAGGTTTAATTTCACACCCTTGTTGGATATCGCTACTTGAATACCTCCAGATGTCTCAAATTTAACACATCTAAACTCCATCTTTTCCAGTAACAAAATAAGGAAAGAAATTTTTTTTCTTGGGTTATTGTCCACCTATCTGCTTGCACTGAAATTCTTCCCTTTCCTTCACTGTTAAATGCAGCTTTTCACGTCGTTTTGCAGTGCTTAAGTCGGTCCACTCTTATCCTCCTGCCAGTGCTGTAGTCCACGTTTCTCTCTCTCATGGGGACTAATAGATAATAGCCTCTGGTTCTCTCCACTCCTAGCCATCCATTCACAGTGCTGTTAGATGTCTTTGAAGGTGCCGTTACCTCACTGATTTGCACAGATACACAATGCCACCACCAGCACCACCACCACTATCCCTACGTCCTCCTTAAAACCTTTAATGCTTCCTCATTTTCTGCAGAGTCAAGTCTGAAAACTTTAGCTTCTCATGTAGGTCCAAACTTAACCATTTCAGCCACACATTACATCCATACCTTCTGCTGTGCAGTAATATTTGTATCATACTTTCTAATGTAATTTCCATTCTGATTTTATCTTGTAACAGCTCTAATGAAGTGGTTAGGGAAGATGGATTCATCCTCATAAGTGAAGAAATTGAAGCTTTAGAAGTAAAGTGTCTTGTTTGTGGTTTAAAAGCTAGCTAATAGGATAGTCAAGACTCAAACCCAAGTTACACCTTTCCATACTGTCAATTAGGTGTGAGTACCAGAATGGGGAAAATGCTTATTTATCCAGCCAGTATTGTTATCTCTAAAAGTGAAAGATAATACGAAGAATGATAACTTTGAAAGCTCTGGGGCAGTCTTTTGGAAGAGATTTTGTATCACTTTTTAACATTATTCTCATGTCACAGTTGTATATTATAGTATCCATGATTGAGAAAATAACAGAGGTGCTCTAAGTCTACTAATACTTTATAATTATTTTTTAATTATTTTTATTTTATAATTATATATATTATATATTATAATTATTTTATTAATTATTTTTCATTTTTATTAATCAGCATCTATAATCACACATCAATTACTTGATGTGCATACAGATTTTGGATTTTTCCGATAACTGAAACTTTCCAGAGGTCCATTGCTCTGGGGAAGTGATTAAAACCATTCAAGGGCAGTAAAATTCCTCATTCACCAAAGATTTTATTTGATGAGACCCAACAGCATTGGCACTTATTAGAAAATTAGTCTTTGATTTCCCTATGCAATAAGCAGTACTAAGTTTATCACTACTTAAAAGAGTAGAATTTGGGGAAATAACCGTAAAATAAACTAGTCTCATTGTGAACTTACTTCTGTATCAGTAAGTTAGATCTGTAAGACCATAATAAACTTTATAGTTTGCTGGGTTTTCTTTTCCCTACTAATTAAAATTAATTTCTCATGTATCTCACTTTACAGTGAAAAAGCTGCCTATCCAAAAGAAGGTGTTTGGCCCAGTCATTTGCTTTAAAAGAAACAATAATGACAGCAAAACCTTTTAATATTGGGAGCAGAGATGAGGCACTTTTCTATCACTGTTTTCTACTAATGTGCACTTACCATCAGCCATACAGAAAATAAAATATCTGTATTCTGTTTTCCTGTGCAAGGATACAGGTAAACGATTGGCTGATTTAATGTGTAGTAAACCCGAATTATGTGCCAAATATTGTGCTCTGTACTTTCGAAATGAAAGTACAGAAATTAAAAGGTTTTGGGCCTGCCTTTAATAATTGTTTTAATATTTGGATAGGCAGATGTGGATGCATTCATTCTGTAAGTATTTATCTAGTACGTGTCATAGAACAGACCCTGTACTAGGTGTTGGCAATAATAGTGAAGAAAACCAAATAAAAAACCTCCTTAGGTGGAGTTTGCATTCTTGTAGAAAGAGACAATAAACAATAAACAAAAACATATAGTATGGAAGATGGTGGAAAAAGTAGAAAGGGGGATTGAGAATGTTGCAACATTGGATAGAGCAATCAGGGAAGATTTCACTGAGAAGGTGACCTTGGAGCAGATATCTGAAAGAGGTGAGTGAGTAAGTCATATGAAGTATGGAAAGAGCGGGTGAAGAAAAAATGCAAAGGCTGTGAACCTGGAGCACATGTGGCAGGTCCCTGGAGTGGTATACAAACAAGGGGAAGTCAAGGGCATAGGTCTGAGAAGTAATTTGGGCTGGAGGATCTGTCATGGATTGTATAGCCCATTGTAAGAGTTTTGGTTTTTACTCAGAATGAGATGAAAAACCTTTGAATATTTTGAGCAAAGGAATGACATAATCCTACCTAAAATTAAAAGGAAAAAATTGGCTATTGTGTGGCACATTGACTGTTGGGTGTACAAGGGTACAGGGAGACCAGACAACTCCTATAGTAATCCAACTGAGAGGTGATGGTGACTTGCACCAGAAAGCTAGTAATGGAGATTGTGGAAGATGGCCATGTTTTGGACTTATTTTATTTTATTTTTTAAGATATATTCATTTGAGAGAGAAAGAGAGCTCAAGTGGGTGTAAGGGGCAGAGAGAGTCCTCAAGCAGACTCCCCACTGAGCAGGGATCCCAGGACCCTGAGATCATGACTTGAGTCAAAAGCAAGAGTTGGTCGCTTAACCAGCTGAGCCACCCAGGTGCCCCTGGACCTATTTTAAAGGTTGAGCCAACAGGATTTGCTAATGAATTGATAAGAAATATGAACGAGAGAAAGGAGTCAGGGAAGACTCCACAACTTTTGGCCTGTGCAGCTGGATGCACCATAAGTTGAAATATGAATTGTATGCTTTGGGAGCAAAAGAGAAAGCATTGACTGGTTTAGAATAGAATGAGGGGGCAAAGAGAAACCTGTTTGTACTGGGACTTAAAGCAGAAGAAGAGTTTATATCACAAGTGGAGCAAATCATGAAAAGACATGGTTTCTTCTGAGATTTATGAGCAAATGTAGTTTTATGTATCGATTAAATGGAGGGCTACAGCAGGAAGTGAAAAAGGAAGGATGTTTTGGGGCTTATCCAAGAGAGTCTTGCAATATAAAGGATTTGGAGATTTATCTCAAAGGAATTGGGAGGTGTAGTCACCTCTCCTTCCACACTGTGAAGTCTTCAAGTTTAGTGTCTTTACTGTTTTTGCTTCTTTTCCTTTCTCCGTCCTCCCTCACATTAGCAGCTCTTCCCTTCCAGATATCTTTGACCTTAAACTTAACC